CTCCCAACAATCCTGATTTTTTTTTTTTTTTTTTTTTTGTACCACATACTTAGGTGGGTTTAACCTATGGTTATGACATTGCAATTTTTCTTATTTATAGTTGAAGCATATAGTTTAGCGGCCCATCAGTGGGTTAGTCTACCTTCATTGAATCAAAGAAGGAAGTTTGGCTGGAGTATCCTTAAATCATAAAATTTTTGCAATTGGTGGTGGAATTGGAATTGAATGCTTCTCAGAAGTATAAATATCCGATTTAGGCGCTCGAAGGTGGATCCAAGCTCCATCCATGAGACATGAGGTATCTTTCTGTCTTTTAGAATGTATCATCACAAACGCTAGATGAGAGTTTGAAACTTTAACTTAGAGAAAGGCTATTGAAGTCTCAACCAATGGGAATTGCTGCTTGGTGTCTCTGAAGCAAGGAAACGGTGTTGCGAAATTCAAGACTATTGTTCTTAGCTTCTCCCATTAGTTTATGCTTCGGTGGTCTATAAACATGGAACTCTAGGAAAGGGTACGTCATTTCAGTCGTTGTAGCCATATAAAACAACTTATTTCATGATTGAAAGTAATTTTTCATTCTTATGCCAAGCTTTTAAACCTGTATCTCGCAGGTGGTGTGTTACAAAGAGGACCGAGTTTGGGGGTTAGTCAACCCCACAGCATTCGGCAAAAGATGCTTTTTCTCTGCCGTCGTTTTGTAAGTTTAGCAATTTATGGGCGTTTGGGGACTAGTATTATGCATTATGTTAAATAAAAGTAAATAATGTACATAAGAAATTAAAAATATTGATGTGAATTGTCGTAAAAAGTTAGGTAGGATCGCGATGGATGAGGGGAGAAGCTTAATGGGCTGTTTGTTTGCAGGCTTGTAGCTATTCTCCCTTCTAGGGATATTCTTAACTTACTCTGGGCGCAGAAAAAAAGAAAAAGAATCTAGTGTCACTATGAGGTGGGATATTTTCTTACCACTGTTTATAATTAATTGCATTCCAGACTCTCAAATCACTTTAATTACTAGCGATGTTATCTTAAATGAGTAATACTATTTTGTTTTGTTTGAAGATATAATTTTTGTGGGTTTAATAAAGAGGCATGGTTGAAGAGGTTGGAGCACTGGAATGTGAAATCAAGGTTTTGTCAAGCAGAGGCGTGAAGGTTTGTGACTTTCTCCGATAACTACTTCGTAATTTCCTTATTAAGATATTTTAGAGAGTAAAAAAAAGGTTACTTCGAGAAATTTTATCGAGGAGATTTAAACAATTTGTTAGAGAGAGAACGACCGGTTGGCTAGAGAAAATAGTTTAGACAGTTATTTTAATGAGAAAAAAGTTGAAGCTTTAGAGGGGGAACTAAAGAAAATATTTTGGGGAGCATATAAGTTGGAAAGCAAGATATATAAGAGCGAGAAAGGAAAGGGAGAAAAAATCACATGAAGGGAAACTAAGTCTTAAGAGTGAAGGAATATTTATAGTGTTTTATAAAATCATGGGTAAACAATTCTAACTTTTAAAATAGTATCTAAATTCTATTTTTTTTTTCTTCAACTAGAATAAAATTGTAATTAAACTTTTAAACTTTATAAAAAAATTAAAAGTTAGAAAGATTATCAAAAACATTTTTTTTTAAAATGAATTCAAAGTTGAGAGTATTACAATTTGAACTATCCTCAGCTTTGCTCACTTGGAAAATTGAAAGGTGATAGTTACTTATATTTGTTTGGACAACCATTTGATTTCTTTTTTTATTTTCCACTTTCTCAAGGAAAATCTTGCGTTTTTAGTCATTTTACAAAAACTATGTTTTTATAGTTTTCAAAACTTGGACATGTTTTCTTTTTTTTTTTCTTTTTTTTTCTTTTTTTTTTTTTGAGAACATACTTTAAAAAGTGGGTTGAAGTAGAATTTATTAGTTTAATTTTTTGAACAAATGTTTTCAGATAATCTATTTGTTTTTGTATTTTTTTACTTTTGGATTCTTAATAAAAAAAAAATTATAAATCGGGACTTTTGGGTTATTTATGCTATAGATATTTGATAGATCGTGTAGCTAAGGCTGACTGATAATCTTTTTTTTTTCTTTTTTTTTTTTCTTTTTTTTTATGCATACTTCCTCACCATTTCTATAATATACAAATGCATCTAAATGCTTAGCCAAATTTTATAAAAAAAAAAATTCGAAATTTGAAAAATAAAACATGTATTTAAAAACTAGTTTTTGAAATTTGGCATTGCTTTTAATTATTTTTGAAATATAGATATCAATGTGAAGGAACATATGTGTAATTAGTGTTTATATGCTATCATTTAAAAAAATAAATAAGGATTCAATTTGATAAACTATTTTTTGGTGTATAAAAAATGAGACTAACTATTTCCATTAATTGGTTATCCATTTTTTACCTATATTTTCAAGATTAGAATAATAGTTTTAAAAAACCTTTTAGAAAGATAATCCAAAAAAATAAATAACTTTTTAAACTAAATACCAAAATCTTATTTGATAACCATTTAATTTTTTTAAAATTAAATTTATAAATACTTCCATTTTCTAGTTGTCTTTTACTTTTTAAGTCTACTTTTGTCTTTACGTTTTAAGTCTACTTTTGTCTTTACATTTTAGGCTTCTAGTTTTGTTTTTAAGCTTGTTTTTAAAAACCAAATCCAGCTTTGAAAATTCATTTTGATTTTAAAATTTAATTAAGAATTCAATTTTTTTCCTTAGATACCCCTGATAGATTGGGAATAAATAAACTTAAGTTTTAAAAATCAAAACAAAAAACAAAAATCTAAATGATTATCAAATGTGGTCAAATGGTTTAATAAAGGGTTTTATTATGGAAGTATGAAAATAAACACATTTTTTTATTAGAAAAAACATACGGTAGTCAATAAAAGCTTTTAACATGTTCTCTTTTTAACAAACGTCCCTTTTCTATGCCACTTTGTCAATGATTCTCTCCATAACCTTTATCCGTCTTAAAATTTTTCCCATTCCAAGTACTTTTATCCCATAATTTTTCTTTCCCGCGATCTTCAAGAAGAAAATGATATCATATTTATTTTGCTTTAAAATTTTAAAAACACAAAAATCTAAAGGATTTTAACAAACATGCCTAATTTTTGTTTATGAAAATAAAACAATAAATAGATTAAAAAACATTATCAAAGACAATACCTCTCCATTTTAATTATAAAATGATTTACCCTGCTGCTTTCAAACATGGATTGGTCATATAAGATGGTGAGCCACCCTACTAATATGATGTGGACCAATTTGGACTCCGACCGTTTGTTTCCAAAAACTGAGGCAGCCGGTGGCCGTCTCTTTATTAGTAACTATCACATACAAATAACTATAATAAAAGAGAGGAAAGCAATTAAAGAAATCTTTTATCAAAAGGATAAATTAAAGAAATCAATCCACAAAAAAAGTATAGGTACCAGGTTGATTAAACCCTCGTTGTCTAAACCACGTTCCGGTAGAGAGACAGTGGACAAAAAAAGAATGACGGAAATCAGAAATCTGCAAACCTTGATCTTCAAAAAGTTTTATAAGGATCATCACCTGATTCCGTGGAACGCTGGCAAGACAGCAATCAGGGGGTCGCCATAGCCAACAGCTTCTGCAAACCATTAATAAAATTTCAGTAAACTTCAGGTTGAACTAGTTAAGACTTTGAGGAACGCCATAAATATAGTAAGATTTTACACTCCACATTTTCTAAAAATAAGAGTATCAAGTCAACTGATTTTCATTCTTAAGATATCATGTGACACTTTCTTAACAGTCTGAATAAACAGAATATCGTATGTACCTCCTTCCTTGAAGAGAACCCTCAATACTTCTCCATCCACATTTGACTGCTCAACAATGAATTGAGGATAAAAATTAGCATTACCATCAATGGATGTTATGGAGGTCTCGCACAAAAATATTGCATTGAAAGGTTCATATGTACCTTTACAGGAAGTTCGGTGCCAAACTGATCGACGTATCCAATTACTTGTCCTTCCTTTATTACATCATTCTGTGCATGAAAGAAGCCGCCAATTCATAAACTAATGTGGTTTGCTAAAATTTGATACAAATGTAAAACTAAAATCGGGAAATAAGGTTCTGAAAAGTCGTAAACATGTTAGGATGACTGAGGTTAGTTAGATCATTAATGGGCCTGGAAGTACATAGTTTAATGGGCCGGGTTGTGTTCCAGTTAATCTAAAGAACTGAACAAGCAGGTAAAAAAAAAAACTTTCTTATTATTCGATCCGGACTATCCAAGGTTTTCCAATTAAAGTCACGAGATCCTCTTCCCGTAATTCAACAGTTTGAAAGTTAAAGTGTCATCGAAGATAAGCAGGCTTGAAAGCAATACCTCTTTGCAGATCGGAGGCTGCTTTTTTCCTTTTATTGTCCTGCCCGTTAGGAATGATCCAACCTAATGAAAGCAAGAGCCAAATTATAATTAATAGGATTTCTCAGATTTTGCAGTTCTTCTTTTTAGATTACGCAGAACCTTACACATTAATGCATCACATACCGTAGGAGAAGAAACCAGAACATATCCTTTTGTTCCAGATGCCTCCAAAGCTGCTAGCTTCAACGACTTCTCCACGGGAACATTGGTAAAAGGAGTTGTTTTCTCTGGAGAAGGTTTCAGAGGTTCTAGTGCAGTAGCAGCTGACTCAACCATGGGTTCAGAAGGAATCGGCGGAGGTACTATTGGAGAAAGGGCAGACAGAGGAGTTTTTACGACTCCAAGATTCCGCTTCAAATGCATTTCAAACTCTCCAACCTGTAGTAGATAGCGGAAGGTTAGTCAATACATGTATAAATTGACTCACCTACAACTTTATGTCCCTGAAACTTAGTCCAAGGCTAAGCAAAGTGATTCAAACAACCGCAAAATCAAGAATTTTTTCGTTGGTTGAACCATGTGATGTATATCAATATAATATATATAAGAGTCTCTTGTACAATGTTCCTTTCATTCTCATGAAAATCATGATATTACGTGAAGAATAATCTGAAAAAACTATTCACGTGGCTGTTCAAATAAAAAAGAAACATTGCACGAAATTGGAGTTTCAATACACCTTTAGTTTTAGTTCAGCAATCTCGGTTTCATCACAGACCTCCAGCACCAATGCCTGGTGATTTCAAAGAGTAGATAAGTTAGTTAAATTCACACGGATAGAATGAAATATCCAAAGAAAACGTTATAATTAATCAACTTTCATTTGAACCCCAAAAAGACAAACAAACAAATAACTTCATGGGAGTGTTGGTGAAACTTGACAACCCCAAGTCACTAAAGTGTATAAAAGAAAGAAAGAAAGGAAAGAAGGCCCAAGTGACGAAAATATTTGAGTTAGAAAATGTACGCGTGAAACTGAGGATTTACATTTCATTTTAAAAAGATAAAACACTTTTTTTTTTTCTTGTTGGTTGAGATTAATCAGGACCTGAGGCAAAAATATGAATACAAGTGATGTAAATATTTCAAAGTGTGAAGAAAATTATTCCCGTCATAGTAAGAAAAAATAGCTTCAGGTGATGGTGCATCAATCTTGATGAAGAGAGGAGACAAACTTCAATGAAAAATTGGCTGGTGCAGATATTTTGGAGGAAGAGATGCCGGCACCCTGGAAATTCTGGATATGAAGTCGACAGAGGTAGATTTATCTTTGAGTTCTCCTTTGTTGGACTAGATTCTCCAAAAACAATGAAGACAAGGGGTTTCTCGATCTAACTGGATACTACCGAAAGTTTGTGGCCAAACATAGTACCGTCGCATTTCCCCTAATAACAACAGTTGATGAAAGATATTTTTGGCTGGAATGAGGAGCACAACGGGCTTTTGAAACATTGAATTAGGCCATGGTGAATGTTCCGGTGTTAGGCCTTCTAGATTTTACACAGCCTACGGTTGTCCTTCGCAAAGCACTGACAAATACACTCACAAGTAAAAGAAGAAAACATTTCTTTGAAACATTGGGAATAATTCCAAGGCCTATTATGTTTCAGCAGGTGGCTATGACACTCTAATTCTGTACCATATTGCAAGTTCTATAACATGCGTATATAAACCATGAAGGAGAAGCTCATAACATGTGAATTTCAGTAACTTTCACGAAAAAAGAAGTTTCAGATGAAGTTCTAATGTTTACTAATGAAGAGGGATGCCCAATGAAAAGTGCCTTCTTTTCATGAGGAAACAAACAGAAACAGAAGATTAAGTTTGAACTCACTTCAAGTCCATCAGGAAAAGTTGTATTCGCTGCAGGCTTTTTCTGCGCTGAACCTCGGAGTACACTATCTGTCAGTAACAAGTAGAAGGTATAAAAGCCAATACGAATGTGACTGGATAGTTCAATCAATGCCTATCCATATTTTCAGTGGAAAATGTATAGAATGATTAATAATGATAGTTTGAAGAGAAATATAATAGTAAAGTTACAACTAAGAAACCAAAATAGCTCAACACAGATGAAACACATGCACTACTCGTGCATAATTAAGACATCTTTGATAGGGGAA